AAAAAAGTTGCGGTGCGATCGGAGACGAAACAGGCGCGCCCCGTGACAAAGGAAGAGATGAATCAAGTAATCCGCAGCCGGACCGATTGGAGGAAACGTGTTGTTCTTTGACTCGCGTGGATAACGGCGAGGCTTTGGGGATCGCGGCCTTGAGAGCCAAAAATTTCACACTGGAGGCGGAAGGGAGCTTCGTTTTGGACTGGTCCGTGGCACCGAAGACGGCGAGAGCGGATCCCCACCGCGCCTTGCGGTTTGTGAGGATACGAGGGCGGGACGCCTTCGACACTATAAAGCTATGCAGGACACTTCAAGAAAACGAAAAGCTCACGGCTCTTACGACTGCCCAAGTCGAACGAGCTCTGGCTCCTTGGAATGCCACGGCGCACTCAAAAAAACACGGTGCATTGAGGCACGCTGCTCAAATCGTGGAGACATACAATTTGAATCCACACGTGATCTCGCAGTTGGCGAAGCACGTCGACCCGTTCGACCTTCCCCAGAATACTGTTCGATATTTGGGGAGGTACACCACAGTGCTGACCCAGGTGTTGCCGCTGGTCACATTGATGTGAAGGGAGAAGCTGCGGAAGGGCAAGAACCCTGGCTGAGAGCAGCGGAGCGTTTTTTCATGATTTTTATCATCATGCCGCTACAATAACGAGACGCGCGACAAGGACGCGTCTGGCCACTCCACAAGATGAACACGCTATCCCGTTACAGCAGCAAGTCAACGTGCCCGTATTGAATCTGGAGTGGATTAAAAGTCGGTTGAACCCGGCCACCTTGGAGAGTCTCATGCAAGTTTGGGGACTCGTCGGGCGGTCCCCTCTCCCTCCGTCTCCTCCGGTAAAGCGCGCGAAGGCTCACGGAGGATTCCAACCGCTGATGCGAGATTGTTACGAAAAGCAGGAATTATCGAGGACGGTTCGTTCACAGTAACAGGCGGATGGATAATACCCTTCTCGGTTGTGGAGGAGAAAACCACCGGCTTACGACGATGGATCGCGTGGCCACGCGACAAGAACAGAGATGACCCTTACGAGGCGAATTTTCCTCTTTTACACATTTCCCATTATTTGCCGCCTGTGATGGCTGAGGCCGCTTCCTGCCTGGATGTGAAGGCATCCTTTTTCTCATGTTTCTTTACCGCGGGAGACTCGGCATCTCTTTCGATGCTGCGTGGAGGACGGCACGCTGGTGGAGCTGACACAGCCGCCAATGGGATACAAGGCCAGCCCAGAAATTCTCCAGATTATCATTACTTCAGCAATTGCGGTGGTGACGACGGTGGTTCACCCCCTCCGGGCCGCACCTCCATTGGTGCGTGTCGACGTATGGATCGATAATATACGCATTGCAGGGTTGAAAAGCGATGCGACATTGTGGGAAGCCCAAGTGCTTCGTAATGCGGACAGTTGTCACGCATCCTTGGGGGAGGACCGCGAATCGGGCGCAGTACACCTTCCTGGGGGTGCAGTTTGATCACACTCACCGGGCGGTATCAATGAGTGACAAGTTTGTCCGGTCTGTATGCGCCATGCCGGCGCTTAATTCTTTGACCATCGCGGAAATGGAGGTTATGGCGTCACGTTTTTTGTGCGCGGCGACCACTTTTGGCAGGCGTTTACGCGACTACTACTTTTTCATCAAGGCAGTGCGACGACGGTTATCTGCACTTTACCGGGGGATTGTGCTGGAGACACCCCCGGCGAACCTACCGCCGTCAGCGGTTGGTTTGGGCGAGAGGTTACGAAAAATGATCGGGAATAATCGTAAGAGAAACAACAAGCCCACAGAAAAGGCGCCGGTCGCCATCATCACGGACGCATCGCTCCATGGACGGGGAGCCGTTTTCGTTCCTGACTCCGGCGACGTTAAAATTGCCGGAGGGAAATGGGAGAGGAAGCCTTTTCTTATCATGCAGGCCGAGGCGCGCGCGGTACGCTTAGCCTTATCGGCCTTTTCCGCCATCTTGCCATCCACCATGGACGTTTGGGTGGACAACACTTCGTTGCAAGGAGCGGCGAATAAAGGCAGCTCAAAATCCCACGCCATGACGTGGGAGCTGCAACGGATATGTTTGTTTTTGGACTCTCGCGGAGTGCAGGCATCCTTTGCTTACGCACGGTCTGCGGAAAACCCCACAGACGGCATATCACGCGGTCGTGTTTTTACACTTCAGGACTTGGCAAAGGGGTGGACTTGGCGAAGGGGAGCGGCGGGGTCTTGTGGTTGGAGGACCCCAAAGTCTGCCACTTCGTAAGTAATAATATTTCAAATCCTAACTGAGGACAAAGGACCATGCTGGTGGTCCACAGAATTCTATATATTGAATGAAAAGAAAACATTGAAGCAATTAGCTAAAGAACCTTTTTTCCTAACTTGTTTGGTTTATATAGATAATTTCAGGATCCGGGCCGCTGCCCAAGAAGATTATTCCCCATTTTTTTGTCCTTTTTTGTTTATCCTTCGTACCTTTGCTGCCGTGGGGCCAATGTTACCAGCGCCACCGATGAAACCAAAACTGCCTTCTCTTTTTTTTTTTAATTCTTTCCTTTGGCCCACTTCTTTACGGCGACTGGCGTTTCAACAGTCATGGCCTCCAGCGCTGCTTCCACTCGGCGTCTCACCTCTAGTTCATCGCCTCTAGCGAGCACACCACCAGTGACAACAACAACAACAACAACAACGACAGGGACATTGTCGGCGTCCGATCCCAGACAACAACGGCAGTCCACATCATCACAAAGCCCGACGGGGGCGCCGGCGAACATAAGCACAAGCAACGACGCACCGGGCCCGCTTTATTCGGAAGATGGCGAACTGCCGGAGGAGGTTCTGTCATATTTTGAGCACTGGGCCTCCCCAACGGAAGTTCTTCAACTTCGCACCCTATGCGGTGATATCGTGAACAAGTACAAGAACGAGACAGCGAAGCTTCTTCGTGAGCTGGAAGAGGTGAAACGAGGGCGTGATGCACTGCAGCGCGAGGCGCAGGAGACACGGAGGCTGCGAGAGCTCTATTCAAAGGCAGAAGCCGAGTACGAGAAGGCGCGCAAGGAGCGTTCACAATGGAGTGAGGAACGTGAGCTCATTCGACTGCGATTGCAGCAACTTAGTGTGGAGAATCAACGACTTCAACAGATTGTCGCCAGCCGGGGTCGCAGCCCCAACCCAAATCAGCTGCGTGGAAGGACGGTGGCGGCACCATTGAGTTTGGGTGATGGCAGCGGTGCGGCGTTTACTTCCACAACAACGCCGCTTTTTACGGGCTCTTCGATACCCACACCAACACCTAGTTCGAGTTCAGCCGCAAGGCAACCACATGGAGGCTCCGCGACACAGCAGCGGAAAAAGCAGCAGCAACAGCTCCCTGTGGAACATGATGCGGCTAGTGGTGGTAATTACAGCAGTGGCATGGGGGGTGATGATTACTATTACAGTGGCAGTCACAACAACAACAACAGCAGCAGCAGTAGTAGTGGCGATATCAATGGGGCTTTGCGTGAGCAGCTGCGCCTCATTGAAGAGATCCATCGTTGCTCCACGGAGTACGCAGAGTTGGAAGCACGGTTTTATTTTGCCCAGACGCTCTGGGACATTACCGCCACGCGAGGAGAGCAACGCTCGATGCTGCTTGTGGCTGAGAATGAAAAACTGAAGGGCCAGCTGCGGCACTGGCGGAGTGTCGCGGAGGATAACGCGGGCCGCCTTGACACAACCAAAGTGCAGCTGCGCGATCGCTGCAACGACGTGGAAGAAGCACGACGTGCTCTGCAGGCTGCTCATGCGGCACGACAGACCGCTGTAGCAGCAGAGCGAAGTGCCGCGGAGGAATCCATGTCGTACATAAAGGCAGCCCATGCCGAGGAGCTCGCACGCGTCCAGCAGCAGCTGCAAGTGGCTCTCGACGACTCTTCTCGGACACGTGACAAGCTTCAGGGAGCATTGGAAGTGGCACAGAGGCGGGCGGATGCGCAGCGGGAAGAGCTGTTGGCCGACGTGGGTGCCGCCGAGCAGAAGTATGCTGACGCGTTGCGAACACAACAAGAACTGGAAGCGACGTTGGCGGAGGCGACGTCACAAAATGAGCGGCAACAGGCACAAATGGAGCGCGAGCTGCGGCTACTTCGCTCTGCTCAGGAGACCGCTGTGAAGAAGAGGGACGAACTTTCTGGGGTGCTTGAGAAGACGCTGGACGAGAACACAGGACTGACGGCGAGGTTGCTTGAGGCGGAAGAAGAGCTGCGGACGGTGAATGCCCAGCTGAACGTGGCGCTTGAGAAACTGCAGCATGCCGGTGAGCTGGAGGAGGCGTTAGTAAGCGCGCGCGCCAGGGCAGAGGAGTTGGAATTGGAGGTGCAGACGCAACAGTCCTATTACGCAGAGCAGCTGCGGATGCACCAGACAGCGCTGGGTGAGCTGCAGAAGCAGCGGGATGATGAGGTGCGACGACTTGGCCGTGCGGTTGAGCGGCTGCAGCGGCGGTATGCGTCGAATAAACTGCGACTCGTTGCTGCGGTAAAAGGCATTGGACGAGCAGCCGATGCAGGGCCAATTTCGCCGCCTTCGATGATGTGCGGAAAAGAGGAACAACCAGCGGCACAACCAAGCACGGTGAGGGCGTTTCCGTTGGCTGAAGAGACAACGGGGTCAGATGCCGTCCTTCTCCTGCAGCAGTCGACGGCCATTGTAGCCGCCTTGGCCCGCACATTAAATCGTGAGACCCACGCGGCATAGAAGTGATTGCATAGAGAATATATATGTATATATATATTCATACAGAAAGAGAGAGTGAGGGGGAGAAAGAAATGAAATGTTTGGGTAAGTGAGCGAGTGATGTCTCTTTGAAGCAAAACCACAAGGCAGGGGTGGACGGAGTTGAAATACCGGCCGACTTTTACCGCTGCCAATTCCACAGCGTTTTTTTTTTTGCTCTTTTTTTGTTGTTGTCACTTTATCCGTCTTTTTTTATTCCTTTTTTTTTATTTTTTTGTCTGATGTCCCTTGTTCAGTTATTTTTGGTAGGGAATATTTGTGTGCTGCCGTGGCCAGGGATAAATAGAGACAATTTGGCGTCTTACAAAATAGGTGGGGGTGTAAGTACTTCTTTTTTTTTTTTTTTTCAATTTATTTATTTTTCTTACGCTGGCGGTGGGTTGGTGATGGAGAGGTGTTTGCTTCTCTCCGCATGGCCGACGTTGCACGAGCGGGAGGTGAAGGAGGCGAGTGAATTTGTGCGCAGTTCCTCTGTGTCGCGTCGGGATTCGATGGCATTGTCGCTGAATCATGCCGACGCGTTTCCCACCGCCTCCCACTCCGGCAGTCACCGGGGTTCTTTTGCCACGATCTTGGCGACGGGATCCCGCGCGGCATCGCCGCACCCGCACGACCCACGCGCCACGCCACCGCCGGGCATTCGATGCCTCGACCTCCCGGAACACTACCACACACGCGACACTAGAAAGAAAAAAAGTGCTGTCAACGAGTACGACGAAGACGAAGACGACGGGGCCTACCGCTCGGGAAGCTGCTCGCGGTGTCTCTCTCGCGCCTCCTCCTTTAGTCTCGGCGCTGGGGGCATGACGCCGCTGGCGTGGAAGATGTCGTCCTCCGTGAACGGCGAATCACCGTCCTGCCGTGCCACAGAATCACCGTGCTCGGCGTTCGCGCAGGAGCACCTCGTGGCGACAGCCGTCATGGAGCGGCGCGTCAATCGGATGGCGGGGAGCATCTCTTTTCAGGGCATGACCCCGATGGATGCATTGCTGGCTGGGCGCCTTGCACCCCCTGACCGCCGGGAGGAGCAGCAGGAATTGGACGAGGGCGGTGACGCGAGGGGCGCTTCGCCTCCTTTTAGGGAACGAAGTATGGCGCCGGCGGAACTTGTCGCCGAGCGGACCGGGCGACGGCAGCCCCGTTGATGAATAGAGGCATTTGGGGGTGGGGCGGTGACGGAATCACCACCGCTGGATGCACACGTGCATTTTTTTCCGGCTCTTCCGATGTTTTTTTTTTTTTTTTTTTTTTTTTTTTTAGAAGATATTTTGTTTTTTTTATTCCTGTGGACCTTTTTTTTTTTTTTTTCTTTTTTTAGAACGGCTTTTTTTGTTTTTGTTTTGAATGAAATAAAACGAAGTGCCCAACACTCGAAGGTAGGGGATCTTATTTCTCTGCACGCATACATACGTGTATATATATGTATATGTACACACGTATGTGGGATTAGAGGGAGACACGGACAGAGGGAGGGGGAGAGGTGTATTTTCCGTAGGATTGTTGTAATGGATTTGACTGCACGTCTCGCCCTCTCTCTGTCTACATGTATTTTATATACACATGTGTCTGAGTGTAGGGGAGGGGAAAGAAGGAAAAGAAAAGAAAAAATAAAAATAAAATATGGTAAACGGAAAAACGAAGAAAAACCAAACCTTAACCATGTCTTTTGTTCTTTCTGTTGTTGTTGTTGTTGTTGTATGCATATATATAAATATATATATATATATATTTTTTTGTCTTTTTCTTATCAGCCATAAAAAGGGTGGGGTGGGGGGGGGGGGGGGAAAGAAAAAAAAAAACGAGACAAAACAACAAATTTTTTTTTTTTCTTTGCTTTTGATTTATTTGATTTTATTTTCTTATCGCCTTATGCCACACGCCAATTATTTATTGCTGCAACTGATTCGATTGGCATTGATGGTATATTACATATTATATTATACATATATATATATATATATATATTTACATGTATGTCTCTGTAGGCATGGTACGTATGTATATTTTTTTTGTGACGGTCGTTTTAAAACACGGAAGCGCGCACATATCTTATATAAAGCTGCATATATATATACATATATAATCTGTGGCTTTTGATCGTGGGGGGAAGGTACTAGAGCGGGAGAGAGAGTGATAGAGAGAGAACGAGAGTTGCGTGTGTGTGAAGGGGAGCTACTGTACTGTCTAACGGATAATTCTTATTGCTTGCCCAAGGATGCCTTAGATGCAATGCACATGGACGTGCTTTTTTTTTTTTCTGCCACTCTCTCTTTCTTTATTTTTGTGTATGTTTTCTTTCAACGAGGATCTTTCCATCTTTCCTCCTCTTTTTTTTTTTTTTTTTCTTCTTTCTCACACACACACACACACACACTCTCTCTCTCTCTCCTTCCATGCATTTATGCATGTGTGTTTACATTGTGTGTGTCACAAGTGGGATTCACCGCTCTCGCTTTTCAAGCATTCGGGGGAGGAGTGAAGGACAAGGCGACAAGAGTCTAAAGATATATATATTTATATATATTTATATACTTTTGTATATTTCTAGTGGTGCCACCGCCACCGTTGCTTTGAGTTTTTTTGGTCTCTTCTATTTGGGTTACACACTACACCAAGAGATGAGTGCGGGTCAATCCGTGGTGGGATGCGGCGATGTGTCCACCGCCGATACACACGGCCCCGGGACGAGCAGCAAATTTCTACCGTCGCCGCTTTACGGGACGCGGGCGGAGGTCTCCGCGACAGACGGGGGAGCGTCGCCGTTGATTAAACCGCCGTTGTATGCGACGAACACGTCGGGGGGCGGCCCGATGACGGCTAAGACGGGCATGGATGAATCCACAGGCTTTGCACACGACGCGGAGGAGGGGGAGACAACAGCCCGGAATCCTGCACGGGCATCGTCCATCGCCGCATCGCCGCAGTCACTTTGTGCCGACGAAGAGGATGTCTCGGATCGCAATGCCGCCGCCATGGAGGAGAGTTACTTTAGGCGCTCCGCGGCAATGTCGAGGGTTCAGAGCGGCGCCGTCAACGCCCCCGTGCAGTTTGAGGGCAGTTTCCTGAGACAGACAGTCATGTTGGGTCAAAGCACACAAGGGCGGGCAAACACCATGTCGCCATCTGTTATCGTTTCCCGCTCTTTGCCTCAGCTCGCAGGCAACGCCAATTGTGGTGACGGTGGTGCCCAAGAGATCTGCGAGGAGTGTGCAGACGGGCCGAGCATAACGGTTTCCCTGGCGAATTCCACCAACGACGGCGTTGGCCCGTGGAAGCGGGTACAACTTGTGTCGTTCTCTGGGCCCGGCATCGCTGGTGCGAGCCCGATGCTGACGATCCCTGTTGAATTGGCATCGGACGCAGAGTCGCCAAACAAACAGCGTGCCAACCCACCGCGGCACCGCTCGATCAAAGACCCTGCCGCACCAATTGGGATGCACAACTCACAGCAGACTGCGGCGAGTTCCATAAGCTTCAGCGACAGAACGCCACAGCGTGAGGGAAGTCCCTCGCGGCCCCCATCTTCAGCCTGTTCGACGATGGACATGTCACGACAGTTGAATATCTCCGGGATGTCCGGAAGCATGTCTTTTCGTCCACCGGTTGGAGGCGTCAGCCTCGCTGATTTACCGAAGGGTTCTCCGTTGGTATTTGACAGCTCTATGAATTCCGTAACGCCGACTCGTGGAACACCGGTTTTATCCACAACAGTGCAGCAACCGAAGCCATGCCCAGTTAACCGTACCACATCTGCGGCCGTCCCTCAATTTGTCACCACTTTCTGTGGAAGGAGTTCCGGTCTTGCCACTGGCAATGGTCTACCACTCTCACGTGGTGTGATGGGAGGAAGTGGTGGTAATCCACTGCTTTCCTCTGCGATGGGCCACATCTTTACCGATCCACACGAGTTGCCGACCGCGCCGAAATCTCAAAAGCCACCTACGGCCCCAATGTCTGATTCGGATGTCTTTCGGCCGTGGTTACCGCTTGGTCTTGAGCAAGACGTGGCTGCAGCTGAGGTGACAGGATGGACGCCGCTGGGAAATGGCTCTGAAATGCCTGAACAGAGTTGTAATGGCCCCATTCTTGCCGGCAACATCGTGAATGATAGGAATAATGATGGGGACGACGACAATGGCTATGGGAAGAAAAGCATGTCTCCTGCCCGCCCTGAGGCCGTTGGCTCTGGCTTCAGTGTCAACGAGGACGATGGGAACCCGTTTTTTGGCGCCACTTCCACGACATTGATGGAGGCGACGCTGCTGGAGATGAATTTGCAGGATGGGTCCATTTCGGTGTCGGTGCGACCCCCACCCAGCAACCAGGCGGCGAAGGGCGCTGAGGATGACCGGCAGGGGAAAAATTCACAAGAAGCCCGGGAAAACAGGGTGGTCGAGCCGACGACATGTAAAGACAAGGTTGGTCAATCGACGAGGGGGAGGCGCCAGCCTTCCCTGCGAAACCAATCCGAGTCCCAGATGAACAAAGAGACTCACGGCGTGGTGAAGCCAGACACGACGGTTGCGGGCACCACACCAGCGGTGCTATCAACAGAGGAACCCACGCCAACGCGGCATGAGTGATACGGACGCCACCGCGAGGGACATTTCAGAGCAAATCCTTTCCTAATAAAGAGACAGGAAACCGAAAACAAAAGGAGGTGGCTAGGGAGGGCGGGCAATTTGATGCCGCCGTAAAGTAGATGAAGCGGCGTTTCTTTCAACGCTCCCGCGTGCACCCCTTTTTTGTCGTATTTTTAACACTGTACCTTTTTGTAGAATTAGATATATACCTTTTCTCTCCTTTTTTCTCCTCGCAGACAGGCATACGCAGAGCCGGAAGGAGAGGAAGGAGGAACCGCCAGAGTGCAACCTCATTTTTTTCTTTGTATTTATTTGTGTGTGTGTCTGTGTGAGAGTTTGTGTGTTGTGGGAGGGATGATGCACGGAGACTTTTTGCTTTTTATTTGCATGGGGGATGGGAAAGAAAACAAGAGAAGGGGAGAGAGGGAGAGAGTGGGAGAAACGGGCACATCTCTACTGTTTGCGTGGCGGGCAATTATTTGTCTTGATGCGTGCATGGACTTTTCTTTTCTCGTTGGATCTTCCGTTCTTTTTCTTTCTTTCCCGCCTGTTTCTCCGCAGATTTTTGCCATAGTTAGTTGACATTGACAGAACGATTGCTACGCGTTCCTGCTTGTGGACGAAGGAAGAAACAAAACAACAACAAATAAAAAACCAAAAAACAACGACGACGACAACAGCGGAAACGACGTTGGCGGTAACAACAAATAACTTTAACGGGAATACAAGAAGGGGGGGGAGGGCGAAGGCAGTCATGGTAGGTGGAAAGGATGCGGCAAAACGTGCTGGCAATGCTAAGCGGAGCGATGACAAGAAGAATGGGAAGGGGGAATCCGGAAATAAGATTGGACCTGCAGCGCATGCGACAGTCGCGACGCATTCCGACAACAAAAGGGAACACAAGACAGCGAAAGCCGTACATGCGAAGCCGCATCCACAGAAGAAGGGCCCTGAAAAGCCGGGGAAGAGTAAAAATAAAAATAAGGACGCAGGGAAAAGTGCGGAGAACTTGAACGAGTCGCTGCCATTACTGCCGCCCTCACCCCGGAGTAACGGCGTCGTGGAGGAGGCGGCGGTGGCCCCTGCAAATGTCACCAACACACCAATCGTGGAGGACTTGGAGCGGAACGACGATAACGCGGGGGTGTCGTTCTCCGGCATGCAAATTTCACTGGGAGTGCAATCCGTGCCACCAGTAAGAAGAGAGAAGCGCAGCGGTAGTGGCAGTACCCTGTGCAAGGACGGGATGGCAGGTTTGTTTAGAGCGGACCAACGTGCTGGTGAAAGTTTGATGGATAATAGCGATGGTGGTGCGCGTTGGCCGAAGGAGGCACCGACGTCAAATTGGACTGCGGGCAGCACGGAGGACCGCGACAGTTGGGTGAACGCCGTGGGCGGAGTAACGGCCAAAAATAAATCCCGCAAGGAGACGGCGGGGAGCGAGGACGACGACGATGATGAGGATGCAGAGGAAGAAGATGACGAGGACGATGAAGAAGATGACGAAGAAGAAGAAGAGGATGGCGAAGAGGAAGATGAGGATGGCGAAAATGACGACGACGAGGAGGAGGAGGAGGAGGAGGACGAGGAAGATGAAGAAGATGGCTGCAATGACACCGTCAACAAGGGGGAGGGATGGAAACAGGAGCAAATTACAGTGAAAATATCTCGCGAGGGCGATCGAAATGTGAAAGTTCTTTACGTCACACGGCGCACGAAATTTAGAGCCTTCGCGAAGGATATCATGCGGCGCTTTGCGTACAACCGTCTTTGTGACTTTGACATGTATTGCATCGACGCCGCTGGGGACCATGTCGACATTGACGTTTCGCAGGACTTTAAAAATCTCATTACGCAGTTTTTGCAGACGTTGCGGTTGGAGAAACAAAAGAACGCGGCGGTTGATGCGAGACCGTCGTCAAAATCGTCGCAGTCGCAGCATTTGCCGCCCAAGGCGTCCCGGCGGTTTTCGGCAAGAGGGGTGCTTCGCAGAAGTGCCTCCCTCTCACGTCCCGGGTCTCAAACTGTGGAGACGAGTCCTGTTGCGGATGACGGGGAACGTAGCAGCACGTCGGTTCTCCGACTGTATGTGCGTGACTCGTATAGGGTGCGGAAGGAGGAGCAGCGACGGATGCATCCCTCCATCGCCACGGGGCAGTCGCAGCTGGTACAATTAGGACTTTCGTCACAGCAGCAAACACATCGCTCGCTGCAAATCACGGGTTCAGTGGGTGAGGACTCGTCGAATGAGTTTTTTACCCCAGGCCATGCGGACTTTCTGCCCATTGGCTCCAGCAACATCTCCGTCAATTTCAGCTCCACCGCACGTTTCTTTTCGCAGACGATAAACTTCCGTGAGGACGAGGATGTACAGTGGAGCAAGATGGGACTACTCGGCAAGGGTTCCTTTGGCAGCGTCTATGAAGGCATCACGAGCGAGGGGAAGATCATGGCTGTGAAGGTGCTGGAAATTTCGCTCGATGAAGACGCCGAAAACGTGGCGAGCATTCAACGTGAGATAAATTTGATGCGATCGTTAAAGCACAAAAACATAGTTGCGTACTACGGCTGCCAGACAAAAGAACTCTCTAGTGGGGCTCGACAGCTGGAGATCTTTCTAGAGCACTGTCATGGAGGTAGTTTGTCGCATCTCCGTCGCAAGTTTGAACGGGCGAAGGAGCGTTTTTCCATTTCGCTTGTTCGCACCTACGCGAAACAGATTCTGGAGGGATTGGCCTATCTACATAGCATGAATGTCGTCCATAGGGATCTAAAGGGCGACAATGTCCTCATCTCGGCTCTCGGCGAAGCGAAACTTGCGGACTTTGGATGCAGTAAACGCATCGGCACGGCGACGATGCAGCAAGATAGCTGTGGGGAGAAAGGCGCTGGCTACCAAACAATGGTCGGAACTCCGCTGTTCATGGCGCCTGAAGTGGTTAAATGCGAGGGCGGCTACTCCAAGCCGGCGGACGTGTGGTCTGTTGGATGCCTGGTGCTTGAGATGCTTGGACGTCAGCCATGGATCTTTAGAAGTAATGCAAATGCCTTCCAAATCATGTATCAAATCTCGAAGAGCACGTCGATGCCAACAGGAGTGCCGAACAACTGTCCTGCGGACTTGTACTCCTTTTTCACGCGGTGCTTCGAACATGATCCGAATAAGCGGGCGACGGCCGAGGAGCTGCTGAAACACGAATGGATCACGTGCCCCGACAGCAAGCTGCAGGAGGTGCTGGAGGAGGCGGGTGGGGAATGAAAAAAGCGACCCCCAAATAAAGTGGGATGCGTGTGAGGGTGCGGCAACGGCAAGAGCAACACTGGGATATATTAAGCGCTCACTTCTTTTCAGCTTTTTTTTTCCTTTTTTTTGAAATAGACCGCCCCCGCCATCCCAACTCCTTTTCTTTTCATCTTTATGCGCGGCGTTGTATTTGCTCCGCGTCTTTTTTTCTTTTCTCGTTTTCTTCTTTACTCCCCTCCCTCCCTCCCCTTCTCTTACCCCTCGTTCTCCGATGGCGTGAGAGAGAGAGGGATTTGTGCCTGCGCCGTGTCGTGGGACTTTGCCGGAGCCCAACAGGAGGCCCCCGCATGCGTCCTGGACGCGGAGTGGGAGTGGGAGGGCAGGGCGTCGCAGTGGCGACAAACTTCACCGTGAACGCCGCTCCAACTCGCCTTCACGTTTTCTTCTTCACTGTGCCATCTGAGATGTAGTGTAGCCGGCCAGACGGAGGGAAGATGTACGCGACTGATAAGAAAAAAAAAATAATAATAAATAAATGAGGGAATAAATTAATAATAATTGAAGGCGTTTTTTTTTTTTGGCAAGTGGCCAGTTCACCGTGTGGAGGTAGACTCTCTTTCTCTCTTTCTCTCTTTTTTTCTTTTCTTTTTTCACGTCACGATATATATATATATATATGTATATATATATATTATTTCATTTATTTACCAATAATGTGTTCATTTCACGAGATGTTTTTTTCTTTTTCTTCTCTTGCGGGCTGACGCACCAAACACGCATGGGTAAAAAGAGAGAGAGAGAGAGAGAGTGTGTGTGTGTGTGATAGGGAGGCGGCGGCCAGTCGGAGCAGACATGTGAAGGGGGTTTGGCTGTATTTCCTTCTGTGGCAGAGGCGGCACACCCACCGCTAGTAAACCGAGAAAAAGTACGTGAGTGTCTGTGTGTGTGTGTGTGTTTGCATATGTTTATATATGTTTGTAGCCCATTTTTTTTTTTTTTTAGTGGTTTTATGATTATGATTATTATTTAGCCTTGTTGCTGTTTGTTTGCTTTTTTTTTTCTTTCTTTCTTCTCCTTTTTCTTCAGATTGTTTTTGTTGGTTATTTACTTTTAGTGTGTGTTAGCCTTCTTGAAGAACGCGGGGGGTTTCACACGTGGAGTGCAGGCAACGGCTTTCAATGATGCGTGTGAACATCTTTTTTTTTCTTTTTTCTTTTTTTTCCCTCTCTCTCTCTCTCTCACTTTTCTCCCTTTATTTTTATTTGTGTTTGTGTATGCATGCTTACAAGCAATAAAAACAAAAACAAATAGGGAGCATTGTAAATATGAGTGCATGCGCATGTCTGTGAGCATTTGACTGTCTTTTCCTCTTTTTTTTTTTTTTTTTTAAACATGTCATTGACTTACATGTGTCTACTGTGGAGGGTTGCTTTCAACGCCGGGGAGTGCTGGTGGGGCCGTGAGAGAGATAGGGAAAGAGAAGATAGAGAAGATAATTGAGAGAGACAAAGAAACACACACACACACACAAAAGAAAAAAAAACACAAGACACAAGACACAAGACTCCATAAAAGAGTGGGAGGAGAGTTGTCAATTTTAAAAAAAATTCTTTTTTCTGTCTGTGGGATATAAATGATGTCTCACGTACGGGAAAGGCAACATCGCCGGTCATTTCGGCAGGCGCTGCTGCGGGCGGCAGTGACATTTTGGGTACTTTTTTCTCTTTGCGGCCGCACGCTGGCGGCGACAAGAACGCTAGAGATAAGTTATGACATGTTGACGCCGCCGCCGCCGCCGCCACCGACTCTTTCGGAGTTGAATGAACGGCTTCGACTGCCGCATTCTTCTTCATCTTCTTCCCCTTTTTTACGTGACGGGGATGGCACGTCGTTGTGCAGCGTGGATCACGGGTGCCCCCTCTCTTCCATGGCGTGGGCCTCCGGGACATTCACCATGAGCGACGTACTCACTCCCGCAAGCTTTCTTATTGCGTCGAATCTAACGCTCAAGCTGAGTCTTTGCTGCGGTTACAAATATAACGGTACATTGCTGCGGGATGAAGCCTTGTATGACGTCTTCCTCCAAGTGCTGCTACAAGCCTCACCATTTCAGGTGCTGACAAGGGAGGAAAAACGTCGGATGTTTCCTCGCGAGCATGTCATTATTATGGATACGGTGCGCCAGCGACGCTACGACGCGAATTATGTACTGACGACGGAGGATTTTCGACAACAAAATGACGGTGATGGCGATGTCATCCTTCTTGTTTCTGGTGCGGTGGGAGAGGGGATCCTTCGCATCCCGCTGTATCGCGCCGCAGAGGATCTTGCCACCGCCGCACCCGCCAACATTAATCTTAAGATTGCGAACGTGGCAATCAAATGCAAGTGTCCGCACACATTACTGGTGATGCCATTGCTGCAGGTGCGACCAGATACTCTTTTGCCCGTGTCTGTTCTTGGTTTGGGATCGCACTGCGGCGTGCATCCGCTGCTGCCCCCAACGACACCCCACCATGGCGAGAACATTGTGCAGCTGCGGGAGAAGGCATGGGCAGCTTCGGTCGCCGTGGCACCGTCACAGCTGCCAGCGACAAGGGTTCAATGGGTTGTGACGGACACCCGCACCGGGAGCATCGTTCTCGACGAGTTGCTACACGTGCCAACGCGGACAGACAGCTCTGGTGCGTTGCTTCGGCACCACGCAAATTGCAGCTACTTCGAGGTGCTTCCAAACCACAAGTACGAGGTGAATCTTACGGTATCTCGTGGGACCGCCGTGCAAAGAGCCACGGGTTTTTTTATTCTCCGCCTACCGATAGATAGACCCCAGGATGTGGAGCGGGGGCCACCGCAATTGCACTTTGGCTTTGAGAGACGCCTGCGGCTCTCGGAGCGTACACGTACTTATCTCGAGTTGCAGGGTGCATTGTCGCCACAGCATCAGCCAGCAGAGTACTTTGGATATTGGGAGAATACCCCACTGAACGACCAACCGCTCCCGCAGATTTTGAAACGGATTCGACACAACCCATACGCGGAGGAGACGGCGTTATATCCGATGTTTGTCGGACGCAATGAGATCTTTTTCTACGTGCGCGATGTGGACGAGGTCTGTGACCCGGTGCTGCTTGAGGTGCAAGAGGTGTGGGCTCTTCAAGGCATCCTGTTGCAGCCGTCCATTTCGCCCCTGACCGCGTGTCATGATGATGTTCCGATGGAGGCATTACCCCTGAAACATGTGGTGGCGACAATACGCTCTTCACTGCAATTACCAGTGCGGTTCCAAGGGACCTCGTGGGAGCCGTTGCAAGAGCAAAACTTTTTGGAGGGACGGTTTGACTGCACCGAACGCGGCGCTGGGCCCTGTGACATCCGCACTCGAGTTGCGAATGGCGGGACTAGCGGTGTTTTGCAGATGCGGAAACGTGGCGTGGCGGATTTGGCATGGGTGGTGCGGGTTGAGGTGAACGAAACGGCGTTGGTGCCGCCACATAGCCTGGACCCGTCGGTAGCCCGCATTGTTGCCAACACCGTGGATGAAGGGGGCGTGGTCGTAGTGGAGGTGCGTTCCCGCCCTGCCGTTGTGGTGCGCCGAATGTCCACAATGCCGAATAGCGTGAACGTCACGTTGGCGATGCGTCTGCGCCGAATGAAGGTTAATCCTCCCCGGTCACTGGAGATTGCGGTGGATGAAGTGCCAATCGGTCACTGGCTTGTCGCCGCACCGCTGCTTCATCTGTCAGTGGATGATGCGTTCGT